CTGCAGCCAGTGCTATGAGAAGAGGGAAGAATGCAAGGAATGTTGCAGAAAAACAAACGGGAAAAAAAATTGTTTACAGACTTCACCTACAGAAGACCTTCTTTAAGAAGAAAAAAACAGATGATCAAATACTCTATTGCAAGAGGATTGTATGAAAGGGATGACCCAAAGGCTAAAGAATTTAAATGCAATGAGCGAGGCTTACCTACGGTCAGTTTCAGTAATTGAAATGAAGACTGAAGAAGCTTTTGAAGTGATAAAACTTGTTATTAAAAATATTAAGTTTATCTTAATAACCAATGAAATTAAACAGGCTCAAAGCTCACATTGTGTTTCATCTGGACTGTACATATTTGTCAAACTTAATAATTTTGTTAAAAGGTACAATGTGCACTGTACATGCAATGCAATGCATGATGTGAGATCTTGACTAGCTCTTTGACTATGGAAGATTTTAGGATGCCTTTATCACTAAAGCTACAAGCAAGTTTGATTTGGCTAAACAAGTATACAACATTAAACTCCCTCCCCACCCTCTCTAATAACTCCGTGGGGAAGAAAGCCATTATTAAAGCCCCCACACTCTTTTATATTAATTAATCATAACTGATAAACTTCATCTGGACTGATTCAATACGGTTTCACATACTGGAAGTACCACCTCCCCCTGAAACATGTTTGAAATAAATAACCCTCCCAGGGGGTGGGGGGATTAGCAGAGGGTTCACGCTAAGTGCCCTGGGTTTGTAACATGCTTACCTACAGCTTCTACCAAGACAAATTTAACAATAATTCATACTGGAAATACTTACCAGTATCATTCTTTGCTGTTTCAGCCTTCTTCTCCTGCGCAAACTGATTAATAGCTCTCTGCAGACCTGCTTTAGTTCCCAGCTTTGAACGCCCTGTCCTCTGAACATCACTGTTAATTGAGAAAACTGCATCATCAGAGAATTTCAAAGAACCGAGGACAATGGAAGATTTAGCCCCTGAAGCAAGTGAGGGATCCACTCATCCAAACCCTAAAAAAGCGGGGGGGGGGGGGGGAAAACTTAAGAAGCTTGTAAAAAAAAAAAAAAAAAAAATATATATTGGAAAAAAGACAAAAAGTAAAAACAAAAATTTGTGTTTCCTTACGTGGGTCCTTTGGTATTTTAACAAAATTAATAACATGGACTACTAAAAAAAAAAAAAACAAACAAAC